GCCTTTTTCCACCTTAGAAACATTGCTAAATTACGTAACATGCTATCTGTTTCTGATGCAGAAAAGTTAGTTCATGCATTCATGACCTCGAGACTAGATTATTGTAATGCTTTATTAGCTGGTTGTCCTGCATCTTCAATAAACAAGCTACAGTTAGTCCAAAATGCAGCCGCTAGAGTTCTTACTAGGTCAAGAAAATATGATCATATAACACCGATTCTATCATCTCTACACTGGTTACCTATCAAGTCCCGTATCAATTACAAAGTACTATTACTGACCTATAAAGCCCTAAATGGTTTAGCTCCTGTGTATTTAATGGACCTTCTATCGCCCTACAATCCATCGCGTTCTTTAAGATCCCGAAATTCGAGGCTTCTGGTCATTCCTAGGATATCTAAGTCCACTAAAGGAGGGAGGGCGTTCTCACATTTAGCTCCTAAACTCTGGAATAGCCTTCCTGATACTGTTCGTGGCTCAGACTCGCTCTCCCAGTTCAAAACTAGATTAAAGACGCATCTCTTCAGCCAAGCATTCACATAATGCTTACCTTTTATACCACTGTTGAATCAGATCGACTGCATTAATATTATGAACAGCAGCTACGCTAATTATTTCCCATCTGCTTTTCTGCTGTTATCTCGGGACGCTAGTCCCGAGGTAAATAGCGTTCGTCAGCTCCAGTTTGTATCCAGCCTCTCACGGAGACTTCAGACGCTCCAACACCTGCGATGAGACGACTCGACGCCTATGAAGAGACGACTCGACGCCTGTGAAGAGACGACTCAACGCCGGCGATATGTTATGCCCTAAATTAATACATGATGATTAACTAACTATATTATTCTATGTACATTTCTGAAATGCACTTTCTGTAAAGCTGCTTTGAAACAATATGTATTGTGAAAAGCGCTATACAAATAAATTTGAATTGAATATACACACACACACACACACACGCACACACACACCAACACACACTCAGACACACAGTCAGACAGACCGACAGACACACAGTCAGACACACAGTCAGACAGATAGACAGACAGACAGACAACAGTCAAACACACAGTCAGACACACAGACAGTCAAACACACATACACACACACACACACACACACACACACAGTCAGACACACAGTCAGACAGACAGACAGACACACAGTCAGACACACAGTCAGTCAGACACACAGTCAGTCAGACAGACTGACAGACAGACACACATACACACACACACACACACACACACATTCAGACAGACAGACAAACAGACAGACAAACAGAGAGACTAATGCTTTAAACTGTGAATATGCTTTCGAATGACAGTTATTAAATATAGGCTATATTTGTGGTCCTGGATGGTGAATGGTCCATCCAGAATTAAAGGGATAGTTCACAAAAAAAAAAAAAAAAAAATTCTGTCATAATTTTCTCACCTTAATGTCATTCCAGACCCATACGCCTAAAAAAAGCAGATAATTTTAATGAATCTCCATTGAAACCCATATATACACTCACATATAGAGGGTCAACGGAAGCTCAAATGCACAAAAAACAAACCTCATTGGTGTTTGAGCTTCTGATTACCATATCTGTTGCTCTATGTACGTTCACTGATCAATGTTTATACGTGAATAAAACCCTAAATTAAATCCGTTCATCAAATAAAGCGATTGAGTCTCTTTAGAAGACATGGATTATACCACTTAACCACACAAATCACATTTATATTACCATCTCTTTATGAGTGTTTTGAAGCATTAGGGTTTTGGTTGAATAGACAGGGACAGAAATCTCTCAGATTTCAACTAAAACATCGTCATTTGTGTTCTGAAAATGAACGGAAGTCTTACGGGTTTGCAACGACACGAGGGAGAGTAAATTATGACGGAATTTTCATTTTTGGGTGAACAAATTCTTTAATAATGACTCAAACATCAGACGTGTTCACATGAGGCGAGTGTAACTGAATCCCTCAGTATAATTATCTCCAGTAGTTCAACATCATGAACCGGTGAGGCTGGTGAACACGGCCTCTTTCACACGATACGCACCATAAACTAAAGAACACTCACATTCAAGTCAGAAAATGACACTGATAATGACTCTTTTGGGATCAAATGCGCATGTTGAAGTGTGTGAGATGTGGGAGGGATTGGGTTATTCCTGAGTCCGCTGGAGTGAGTAAACAGAGTAATGTCCGGAACAGGAAACAGTCGGCACAATGAGCAGCACTTCCTGTGACACCGGTGCGTCTCCATCTCACTGAGCTCACTGCACTTTATGGACAACAGCAGAACTGATTTGTGTCTGACATTAGTTTTGTAATGCTAATTAAAGAATATTACGATAAATTCTTTGATTGTTACATAATCCTTCATCATTTCAGCTGTAGATTATAACTAATAGCTAGGTTATGTTCACTACCAGTCTATCAATGTGTGTTAATGCTGAAATATAATTAAGTAACGGTTTGTTTCTATCACGTGTCATGATGTGTATTGAGTTGGCTCGTGAGATTTATGATTCACGCTTCATAATTTCCATTAAGGGAACAGAGAATAAATTCACACATTTACATCTTCATTCAGTCATTGTAAACACGAGCTGGTTCTGAATCAGAGACTCAATGGCCCAGCGAACACAAATTAATTCTAACAACGTTTTGTTCATTTTGCCATTAAATTATTTCTGAATGGTCAAAATTTACAGTTTATTAAATGTTTTAAAAAAAAATTTGTTTGGGTTATGTGAACATTAAAGGAACATTCCATTGTATCATTCTTCAAACATTATGGGAACGTTACTTTTAAATGTTTACTGTGTCTGTGTGTGTGTGTGTGTGCGCGCGCATAAGTGTGTGTGTCTGTGAGTGTTTGTGTGTGTGTGTGCGCATAAGTGTGTGTGTCTGTGAGTGTGTGTGTGTGTGTGTGTGTGTGAGTGTGTGCATAAGTGTGTGTGTCTGTGAGTGTTTGTTTGTGTGAGTGTGTGTGTGTGTGTGTGTGTGTGTGTGAGTGTGTGTGTGTGTGAGTGTGTGTGTGTGTGTGTGTGTGTGTGTGTGTGTGTCTGTTTGTGTGAGTGTGTGTGAGTGTGTGTGTCTGTGAGTGTGTGTGAGTGTGTGTGTGAGTGTGTGTGAGTGTGTGTGTGTGAGTGTGTGTGAGTGTGTGTGTGTGTGTGACTCCTGGGAGAAGCACAAGAATCTCTCCTGTCTCGCACAGTAAATGTAAAGCAGTATTTCAGCTCTGAATGAGTGAGCGAATGAATGCTGGGTAAATGTGTTGCCATGTTATCAATCGTGAGCCTGTCTCGCACTTCTATTCAAACTCTAGTGTCTTTGAACGCTTCACTCCACTAAACAGCAGCAGGATCTGATCCGACACACACACACACACACACACACACACACACACACACACACACACACACACACACACACACACACACACACACACACACACACACACACACACACACACACACACACACACACACACACACACACACACACACACACACACACTGACTCTTTTGTCATGAGAAACTCATAGTAGATCTCAAAATGCATCTGTATTTACACTTCACATCGGACCTTCGACTTAAGTTCCCTCTCAACAATCAACTGAACTCAATAAACCACTCAAAATATAAAAATAAAAATATTCTGCATTCAGTGAGCTTTTCAAAACTTACAGACATCTAAAGCTCAGTTAAACTAATGATTCGGTCATCATTTACTCTCTACTTTCTTCAGTGGAACACTAAATGAGATGTTTAGTTTTGCTCTTTATCATACAATTAGAAGTCAAAATGAAGAGAGAAGTAAAAAATTATGACTTTATGTTATAATTTCAATTTATGTCATAATTTTTTTATAGTTTTAATGTTATGGGGATTTTCTGTTTCTTCTTTTTTTATCTTATTTACTTTTTTGATAACGTTGTGCTGCTCATCTTGGCCAGGTCACTTCTGTAAAACAGATTTTTAATCTGAGAAAGTTTTATCTGCTTAAATAAAGGGCAAAAAAAAAGAAAAAAGAAAAAGAAAATTGTGACTTTTAAAGTCACAAAAATCTTCTTCTGAGCGAAACCCTCATGGAGCTCGACAGTCATGACGAACATCTCGTCTGCTGAGCAGAAGACAGAGCCGAGCGTTTGATTGACAGCTGAGCAGAAGACTGTGAGTCGAGCGTTTGATTGACAGCTGAGCAGAGTCGAGCGTTTGATTGACAGCTGAGCAGAGTCGAGCGTTTGATTGACAGCTGAGCAGAGTCGAGCGTTTGATTGACAGCTGAGCAGAGTCGAGCGTTTGATTGACAGCTGAGCAGAGTCGAGCGTTTGATTGACAGCTGAGCAGAGTCGAGCGTTTGATTGACAGCTGAGCAGAGTCGAGCGTTTGATTGACAGCTGAGCAGAGTCGAGCGTTTGATTGACAGCTGAGCAGAATCGAGCGTTTGATTGACAGCTGAGCAGAGTCGAGCGTTTGATTGACAGCTGAGCAGAGTCGAGCGTTTGATTGACAGCTGAGCAGAGTCGAGCGTTTGATTGACAGCTGAGCAGAGTCGAGCGTTTGATTGACAGCTGAGCAGAGTCGAGCGTTTGATTGACAGCTGAGCAGAATCGAGCGTTTGATTGACAGCTGAGCAGAGTCGAGCGTTTGATTGACAGCTGAGCAGAGTCGAGCGTTTGATTGACAGCTGAGCAGAGTCGAGTGTTTGATTGACAGCTGAGCAGAATCGAGCGTTTGATTGACAGCTGAGCAGAGTCGAGTGTTTGATTGACAGCTGAGCAGAATCGAGCGTTTGATTGACAGCTGAGCAGAGTCGAGTGTTTGATTGACAGCTGAGCAGAGTCGAGCGTTTGATTGACAGCTGAGCAGAATCGAGCGTTTGATTGACAGCTGAGCAGAGTCGAGCGTTTGATTGACAGCTGAGCAGAGTCGAGCGTTTGATTGACAGCTGAGCAGAGTCGAGTGTTTGATTGACAGCTGAGCTGTGACTCACTGTTGATGATGGAGATGTCTCGGCCCTTGTAGTGCTCAGCCAGAGTGATGGAGGAGCCCTGACCCGACGCCACGATCCTCACGGTGCGACCGGTGTCTCCGCAGTCCAGGTGCACCGCAGAGCCGAGCTCGGACCCGTGCAGCGCCAGCGCGTCGGGGAAGCGGAAGGCGTCGCGCGTGCGATCGCGACAGTACGACTTGTACCACCACTGGACCACTGGAGTCTGCGAGGAGACGCTGGTGTACTGACACGGCAGGACCACCGGCTGGAAGAGCATCGCAAAGCGCCGCTCGTCCCGAACCGAGACCTGCACGGCCTCCCCCCGCGACACCGCTGACATCGAGACAAGAGAAACACATGAAGCACATGAGCATCCATCACAAACAAGCCACAGAAACTGAGACGTGGAGTGTGTGCTTCTGTCTGCTGTCACACTGTCATTATCATCATTACTGAGAGCGGCTGATTCAGCACACACTGCTTAAACACATTCAGTCACCAACAGTTGTTAGACTTCAGTTAGTAAATGTGAAATAGTGTCCGCAACATATTTGTCTTTCATTATGTGACATATTTCTTTAGGGAAACAGGAATATGAGAATAAATGTAGGGAGGGACTTGATATCAGCTGGATCAGTTCATCACAGAGATTACATGTTCAAATGAACCACACTGACAAAAATGTTACTCCTCATGACATGAACAAGGTGAACATTTAAAAATAGATACTCAAACTATGAACAAACACATTCCATATGCTGCCCACACACACACACACACACACACACACACTCTTACACTCTCACACACACATTCCTCTGAGCTTCTGAATATCTGCTATCATTCTAGTCAGTCAACAGAAGAGCGTCTCAGATTGTGTTGGGTTTATAAACTAACACACACCCAGAAACAGCTGGTTTAAATATGACCTGTGGGATTCAGACAGACAGACAGACAGACAGACAGACAGAGAGTAAGACAGCAGCAGGCAGGGAGTGTTCACTAGTAAGGGAGCAGACCATGTGTTTGATAAGAAAGGGTTTTAGATTTAGGTTTTGTTTGTTTAGTTTCTTACTTTAGAGGCTTTTAATGTTCTAAAACTCTGTAGTTCATCAAATTAAACTGCTGTGGAAACTTGTTCTGTAACAATTAACAGTTTATAATAGTGTCATGTATTCTAAAATTACAGTTTCAGGTGTAATTATTAAATAGAAGTGAGGTCTTAAAAGTAATGTGATGGGATAACGAGTAAGGAGAGATAGGAATATAATTTCTTACAGTAAAATGGTATAAACGGTGGTCCAATGTGGCGTAACAGACCTGAGCGGAGCTGTAACTGTAACTGTAACACACCTGAGCTGTAACTGTAACACACCTGAGCTGTAACTGTAACACACCTGAGCTGTAACTGTAACACACCTGAGCTGTAACTGTAACACACCTGAGCTGTACCTGTAACACACCTGAGCTGTAACTGTAACACACCTGAGCTGTAACTGTAACACACCTGAGCTGTAACACACCTGAGCTGTACCTGTAACACACCTGAGCTGTAACTGTAACACACCTGAGCTGTAACTGTAACACACATGAGCTGTAACTGTAACACACCTGAGCTGTAACTGTAACACACCTGAGCTGTAACTGTAACACACCTGAGCTGTAACTGTAACACACCTGAGCTGTAACTGTAACACACCTGAGCTGAGCTGTAACTGTAACACACCTGAGCTGAGCTGTAACACACCTGAGCTGTAACTGTAACACACCTGAGCTGTAACTGTAACACACCTGAGCTGTAACACACCTGAGCTGTAACTGTAACACACCTGAGCTGTAACTGTAACACACCTGAGCTGTAACTGTAACACACCTGAGCTGTAACTGTAATACACCTGAGCTGTAACTGTAACACACCTGAGCTGTAACTGTAACACACCTGAGCTGTAACTGTAACACACCTGAGCTGTAACTGTAACACACCTGAGCTGTAACTGTAACACACCTGAGCTGTAACTGTAACACACCTGAGCTGTAACTGTAACACACCTGAGCTGTAACTGTAACACACCTGAGCTGTAACTGTAACACACCTGAGCTGTAACTGTAACACACCTGAGCTGTAACTGTAACACACCTGAGCTGTAACTGTAATACACCTGAGCTGTAACTGTAACACACCTGAGCTGTAACTGTAACACACCTGAGCTGTAACTGTAACTGTAACACACCTGAGCTGTAACACACCTGAGCTGTAACTGTAACACACCTGCGCTGTAACTGTAACACACCTGAGCTGTAACTGTAACACAACTGAGCTGTAACTGTAACACACCTGAGCTGTAACTGTAACTGTAACACACCTGAGCTGTAACACACCTGAGCTGTAACTGTAACACACCTGAGCTGTAACTGTAACACACCTGAGCTGTAACTGTAACACACCTGAGCTGTAACTGTAACACAACTGAGCTGTAACTGTAACACACCTGAGCTGTAACTGTAACACACCTGAGCTGTAACTGTAACACACTTGCGCTGTAACTGTAACACACCTGAGCTGTAACTGTAACACAACTGAGCTGTAACTGTAACACAACTGAGCTGTAACTGTAACACACCTGAGCTGTAACTGTAACACACCTGCGCTGTAACTGTAACACACCTGAGCTGTAACTGTAACACAACTGAGCTGTAACTGTAACACACCTGAGCTGTAACTGTAACTGTAACACACCTGAGCTGTAACTGTAACACACCTGCGCTGTAACTGTAACACACCTGAGCTGTAACTGTAACACAACTGAGCTGTAACTGTAACACACCTGAGCTGTAACTGTAACTGTAACACACCTGAGCTGTAACACACCTGAGCTGTAACTGTAACACACCTGAGCTGTACCTGTAACACACCTGAGCTGTAACTGTAACACACCTGAGCTGAGCTGTAACACACCTGAGCTGTAACACACCTGAGCTGTAACACACCTGAGCTGTAACACACCTGAGCTGTAACTGTAACACACCTGAGCTGTAACTGTAACACACCTGAGCTGTAACACACCTGAGCTTTAACTGTAACACACCTGAGCTGTAACTGTAACACACCTGAGCTGTAACTGTAACACACCTGAGCTGTAACTGTAACACACCTGAGCTGTAACTGTAACACACCTGAGCTGTAACTGTAACACAACTGAGCTGTAACTGTAACACACCTGAGCTGTAACACACCTGAGCTGTAACTGTAACACACCTGAGCTGTAACTGTAACACACCTGAGCTGTAACTGTAACACAACTGAGCTGTACCTGTAACACACCTGAGCTGAGCTGTAACTGTAACACACCTGAGCTGTAACTGTAACACAACTGAGCTGTACCTGTAACACACCTGAGCTGTAACTGTAACACACCTGAGCTGTAACTGTAACACACCTGAGCTGTAACACACCTGAGCTGTAACTGTAATACACCTGAGCTGTAACTGTAATACACCTGAGCTGTAACTGTAACACACCTGAGCTGTACCTGTAACACACCTGAGCTGTAACTGTAACACACCTGAGCTGTAACTGTAACACACCTGAGCTGTAACACACCTGAGCTGTAACTGTAACACACCTGAGCTGTAACACACCTGAGCGGAGCTGTAACTGTAACACACCTGAGCTGTAACTGTAACACACCTGAGCTGTAACTGTAACACACCTGAGCTGTAACTGTAACACACCTGAGCTGAGCTGTAACTGTAACAGTTGGCACTGATTTGACTGAATCTCAGGGTTAAAGCAGCTCTGCTCCTGATTACAGAGGCTTTAGTTAGACATCAACCCACATCATTACACTAGTTAAGCTCAGAAACCCCCACACAAACACTGAGGTACTGCTTTGTAAGCAGTTTTACACCGTTACCATGGTAATCAAACAACTGCTGAAACAGCTTTAAATATTTCAACTACTGAAGATGATCATTTAATGCTGATTTATGTAAGACAGTGGATGCAGCTGCAATATTCATCTCCTGTATTTCGCTCACGGACCAACTTTCCAAATAAACCAAAGTAAACCAAAATGAACGTGAATCACAAGAAGTGAATGTGCTGATAAATATCAGGCGTCAGTGCGTCACATTTACAGTAGAGCAGCTAAGAGCCGCTTTACTGTCACTAATGTAACTAAAAGATTCCCGAATCAAAACAGAGTTAGTGGAGTTACTGGACTGTAAACAGTGTGAAGAGTGAAAACAACCTGCTGTTTCTGCTCAACTTCTCCAAACTCTCAGAAAGTGACGCACCTGTGAACGCCACGAGTGAAATCCAGCATCTGACGAGTGAAATCCTTCTAAACAGTTCCGTTTCGTTTCCCGTAGCAGAATTGCGATCGTGTTTTCCTCGTGTTTTTCGCTTCATTTTCCGTCCGTCTATTCTGCGTCTCGAGAGTAACGGGTCTGAGGGAACGGAGGCGCGCGCCGCCCTCTAGAGCGCGTTACCGAGGACTTTCAAGGAGGGGTTTTATTTTCAACAAGATATCACAGTCTCTCTCTCTCTCTCTCTCTCTCTCTCTCTCTCTCTCTCTCTCTCTCTCTCTCTCTCTCTCTCTCTCTCTAATATATATATATATATATATATATATATATATATATATATATATATATATATATATCACTATTCATCATTATATACAATTACATAAACTATACAAATCTAAATAACATATCCAAAAAAAAAAAAAAAACTGGTTAAAAGGTTAAAGACGACCATCATGATAGTCTAAACTAAAGTATTAATTCAAGAAGTTTGATAATAGACTTGAATCAATAATGATTTCGCCCTCTAGTGTTTCTATCGGTGTATTAGCGTGAGTAGTGCAGACTGGGAGACCGGGGCATGTTGTCACACACTGTGTCATGTGGTTTTGTCTAACACAACGGGTTCAAAACTTACTTGTTGTTTAATTGTTTTTCCAAAAATATGTTTGTTTTTCGCACTGTCTATTGATTAAACATATGGGTTTTGAACCAGTAAAATACACTATTGTGAATGTAAATGTAAGTCACTTTGGTTAAAACACTACTGATTTGATCTGTACTCAAAACAAGGATATTATTATACAAGGATATACATAACACAGTCATGTTGTCTGTTTCATATGTTGTAATTTTATTATTTTTTTTTTTTACAAATGTATTCTTTTTAATTCAGCGTCACTAGCAGGTACCCACAACCATGTTAAAAGGGATAATTCAGCCTAAAAGGAAAATTCTGTCATCATTTGTTCACCCTCATGTTGTTCCAAACCCGTAAGACATTCTCCAGAGCACAAATAAAGATCTTTTTGATGAAATCTGAGAGCTTTCTGTCCTTCCATTGACAGCTAGGCAACTACCATTTTGATACAACCATGATCGGATGATAAGAGCAAATCATGTGTGACTCTGATGAGAGCGGTCTCAGTGCTATGGTACGGTCTAAATCCTGACTGGAAATCCTCACAGATATCATTTCTTTCTAGAAAGGAATACAGTTGTGAGGATATTGCCTTTTCTAGTATCTTTGACAGAAAAGGCAGATTCGAGATCGGCCTGTAATTGACTAATTCTGTAGGATTAAGTTGCGTTTTTTTTGTACAAGTGGTTTAATCATAGCCAGCTTAAAAGTTTTGGTACGTATCCTAGAGACAAAGATGAATTAATGATATTGAGAAGAGGATCTTTGACCTCTGGAAGCATCTCTTTCATTAGCTTAGTTGGTGTGGTCTAATATACATGTTGTCGATTTAGATGATTTAACGAGTTTAGTAAATTCGTCCTCTTCTATAGCACTGAATGAATCAAACTTTTCCTCAGGGAGACTACAATGCGTCTCCCTGTAGTAGACGGTTGCATAGTTATACTTTTCTCCCTGATATTATCAATCTTGTAAGTAAAGAAGTTCATAAAGTCATTACTGCTGTGCTGGTTGGAAACTTCTGGGTTTGAAGCTTTATTTTTCGTTAGTTTGGCCACTGTTTCAAATAAATACCTCGGGTTTTGTTTATTTTCTTCTAATAGGATTGAAAAATAAGCAGATCTAACAGCTTTTAAGGCCACTCTGTATGCAGTCGAGCTCTCCTTCCATGAAATGCGAAATACCTCTAGTTTAGTTTTCTTCCAGTTTCACTCCATGTTTCTGGCTGCTCTCTTAAGGGCCTGTGTGTGTGTGTGTGTGTGTGTGTGTGTGTGTGTGTGTGTGTGTGTGTGTGTGTGTGTGCTCGTTGTACCACGGCGTTGGACTATTTTCTTTAATCTTCTTTAAGCGCAATGGAGCAACTGTGTCTAAAGTGCTGGAAAAGAGAGAGTTAAAAGTTTCTGTCGCAATATCGAGTTCTTCTAAGCTATCTGGGATGCTGAGATGATGAAACTGATTAGGAAGATTATTAATAAAGCAATCTTTAGTGGCAGAAGTTATAGGTCTAACATATTTGTAACACGGAGTCGGCTTTGCAGCCTTGGCTAAATTAAGTTTACACCCACTAGATAATGATCTGAGATGTCATCGCTCTGCTGCAGAATTTCAACGGCATCAACATCTATTCCGTGTGACAATATTAGATCTAGAGTATGAATACGACAATGAGTAGGTCCTGACACGTGTTGTCTAACTCCAATAGAGTTAAGAATGTCTTTAAATGCCAATCCCAATGTATCTTTTCGTAATCTACATGTATATTAAAATCACCAACAATTAGGACTTTATCTGCAGCCAGTACTAACTTCAGCAAAAGTCAGCAAATTCTTTGGTAAAGTTTGTATGGTGCCCTGGTGGCCTGTATACAGTAGCCAGCACAAATCTCAAACTTGATTTATCATTTACACTATATATTGTTACATTAAACACCAACACTTCAAAAGAATTATATTTGAAACTAGACTTCTTAGTAATTTTGAAAATATTCCTAAAAATTACAACAACACCTCCCCCTTTGCCTTTCAGACGAGGTTCATGTTTATAACAGTAATCTTGGGGGGTGGAATCAAAGCGGGGGCAGTAATCAAATCGATTTGTAAGTCGCTTTGGACAAAGGCGTCTGCTAAATGAGTTAATGTAAATGTAAATGTTATCGATCTTTCACCTTCTGGCCTCTTTGGCGACACTGCAAATACTGTTGTCGAGAGGTTTCAGGAGGCAAAGCAACAGTCAGCCGCATTCAAACGTTTCATCCCCCGCCGTCGTTCTAGATCTCGTGGGGCTGAGATCTAGGATGAGATGACGATGCCTGTCTTCCAAGCAAGGGTTCCTGTGTTGGGACCTGGCAGTGGTTCTCGAAGGGTTATCCCTGGCACCCATCGAACCCATTGACGAGGTGTCTGAGAAGTTTCCTTCTTTTAAAGTGGCCTTCCTGCTCTTTAAAACATCCGTCACAAGAGTCGGGGACCTGTAGGCTCTCTCTGTTTCTCCCTCTTGCCCTGAGTTGCTCCTGGGAGGGTAAAGGCCATTCTATACCCTAGGCCGGGCTACATACCCAAACTGCCATCTAATGTGGTACGGTTATCCAGCAGGCCTTTCATCCTCCACCACATGTGTCGGCTGACCAAGAAAAGCTACATCTATTATGCCCTGTCCGGGCCCTGGAGGCCTATGTACGAGTTCCTCGGGTTGGAGAAAGTCGGACCAGCTATTTCTTCACCTAAGAAGGGTTCCCCTGCCTCTAAGCAGACAATTAGCAAATGGATTGTAGAAGGCTATTTCTTTGGCGTATGAGGCGCGCAGTATGCCCTTTGCCACACCTCCTGAGTGCCTGAGAATGGCTTGCCTCAACCTACCAGAAGCTAACACTGTTGTGTGCCGGCGTCCCTTTGTAGCTTCAGCATACGCCGTCTCATGACGCCATGGCGCAACACCAGTCGAGATTGGACTAGTTCCACACGAGCTTCAGACGCTGTCACGCTGGAGGCGTTCCCCAAAAGTGTTGTCTTTGACGCAACTTTTCTTTCCCTTCTCAGGAAACGAGCGTTACAGTCGTAACCCGAGATGTTTTACGATTGTAATGGAAATTTTACATTTAGATGTGTTTTTTCTACTTTTAGATGTGTTCTTTTATCTTTTAGATGTTTGCAACTTTTATTAACGTTGAAGATTTATGTACTCATAAGCATTTAAAGGAAGATGTCCATATAAGCTAAAGGACAGTATTAAAGATATAACAAAGCTGTTAGAAATGCATAAGTTAGATAAGCTTTCTGGAACAAAATGTTCTGGGTTACAGAAGACCAAGTAACAAAGGGACTATTGTGTACTTCAAGTGTGAAATGTATGTGTGCAGCTTTTGATCAAACAAGAGATAGGCAAAAAGTGTGAATTCGAACAGCAGCTAAAACAGGAAACCTTAACGAAGATGTCATTGTTCTGTCTAGACGAATTTATGTCCAACGAGAGATCTTGAACAAACACGTTTCCTTTTAAGGCAATCTTCTGGAACAGATGCAGCCTACTCATATATACCCTGTTTAGGGTATATAACTTGGCGAAAGGGACCAGCCCTTCGCCTTCTCATATAGATGCTGTCTGTGTGTGAACTGCCTTTCTTGCAAGAAATAAAAGCTTATAACTTTCGAGATCTCTAGTTGTCCTTCAATAGTTATTTAAAGTTTATTTAAAGTCGATAAAGAATTTCCACGACACGATCTATTTATATACTTTTTGAAGTGTGAAAGTGGTAGTTGCATAGCTGTCAATGGAGGGACAGAAATCTCTCAGATTTTATCAAAAAGATCTTCATTTGTGTTTCGAAGATGAACAAAAGGCATTTGGGTTTACATGACATGAGGGAGAGTTAATGATGACAGAATTTTCAGTTTTGTTTGAAATATCCCTTTAAGGCAAGCGTAACATGACCAATAAGTTGCCACCTGTTCTAGCAAGACATTACACGCAGAAGACAATATTCCTCCGTCCAGGCGAGCAACCACCAAGAAAAGGTGTTAACACCAATTCTCGCCCAGGACAACTGGAAGCTGCTAGGGACTGGAAGATGCTGGCTGATCTTGATCAACGGCTTATTTTTCCACCTGAGATTGCCACCACTAACCTACGACCAGATATTGTTTTGTGGTCTGGATCAGCACGCATTGTTCAACTGATAGAGTTAACAGTGCCATGGGAGGATGCGGTAGATGAGGCATATGAGAGGAAGAAACTGCTGTATGCTCATCTGGCCACTGAAGCAGAACAGCGAGGATGGAGAGTCCAGGTTTATCCAGTGGAAGTGGGTTGCCGAGGTTTTGTGGCACACTCTACAACCCGGTTCCTCAGAGACGTCGGATTCAGCGGCCAAGAGTTGCGTCGCACAGTAAAGAACTTATCTGAAGCAGCAGAAAGGAGCAGCAACTGGCTGTGGTTGAGACGGAAAGATTCTAGCTGGCTGTGTGCAGGCCGCCACGCTACGGTTTCGTAGAATTCTTGAAAACTTGAAGAGTCTGTTGGTTTGTTTGTATACGTTCCTGTGGATATTGGGTGAATGACGGGTGGTTGGGCAGATATTGTGTTTTGCGGTAGGTGGTATGCCATACGGAACCGTTGTCCACTGAAACTGCATATTAACGCACCAGTGGGGCTCGACAGCCTTAGTCAACGGGTTGGCGCGTATGGTCGGGTTGCGGAGAGATTGTGAGATTGTGGTTAGGTCTCAGCAGTAGGAGGGATGTAGAGGTCAGTAAGCTGGACTGAGATGAGTGGGGGACGGAGGGGGGGGGGGGGGGACTCTGTGACGCCAGAGTCACAGTCGAGCCCTCTTGAGGTGTCGTGGGCTAGTCGACGAAACACTGAGGACGGAAGGTGCCCACTTGAAGACCCTAGAGATGTCCCCTACTCGGCTCAATCCAGACGGTTGTCGTGCTGGTCCTGTAGTTGCAGCCGTCGCGTGCGCTGACGCGCCAAGTACACTGCTGCCGTTAACGCCGGACAGAAGGGGAGTCACACCACCATATGGAAAGAAGCGATGGATGGAGAAGCATAGTTTACTGTAAAGCTACGTCTTAGTTTTGCTTATCTTGGCGAAAGCCGAGTACAAATCAGCATGAAGTTTTAACATCTACTCTCGTGTAATGGAAATCATAAGGGCTCAGTGGGCAATAACAGTGTTCAATCGCTGTTTAGTAACACTTAAAGGGTTTTGTCTATAAAAAAACTGCTTCTTCTTCTTCTTCAACTTTATTTATGTCTCCCAGGTGGCAATTAGTTTTACAGCAAGGCATACACACAGACAGCTATAAAAAACATAAAATAAAATTAATAATAATATTAAAAATTACAACCCAAATTAAGGGTTGTTATTTGTAAATAAAGTTGTGCTTTCTTACAGATTATCTCAGTATTGGATAGTCCGATAATACCATACCATCCCAAAATACCATCACACTGACAAATTACTGGAGTAAAAACATGGCTTTAATAATGTCATTACATCTTAGAAAATAAACAACATGGGAAACGATCTCAGAACATACAGTATAATGTACAAATCAATGAATACAATAAAAAAATCAAATCATAAAAAAGAATATATATGATATTCTCTATGTTGTTCAATACATTTATGTTATATACAGGTAAATGTATTTCCCATGACTTGATCCAAATTTAATGTTTAAGAATAATTACATTTACTAACATTTTAAATAAAATGGCCTGGTGAAAAACTCACAGACCGACGTCTTTAAGCATCAAGAACAACAGGGACAGTTTTCAAAACAATGAATTACAGACGTAATGTACAAAATGGTAAATGGACTGCATTTATATAGCGCTTTTCACAGACCCAATGGCCACCAAAGCGCTTTACATTATGCCTCACATTCACCGACGGCGGTGTCAGCCATACGGCCGCGCCGGTGAACGTGATTTCACCAAGTACAACATGTTCCTGGATCAACTTTCCAATCAACCAATCAGATTTGAGGGACAAGTTTACAGTTTATGTCAAGTTTAGGCTTAGAACCAGGGTGAAGTACTTACACATCAGTGTCATTCACCTATCATTACCCTCTGATTTTAGGGAAAAGTTATGGGTAGGGTTGGGTTTAGGGGTAGGGATTGGGTAAGGACTACATTTTGGGACAGGAATGTTGATCCAGGATCAACAAAATATGTTGATCCAAGACCATGTTGTACAAAATCACGGTGACCACAAGGCGCCATCCAGCTCGTCGGGAGCAGCTGGGGTTAGGTGTCTTTCTCACGGACACCTCGACACTTGGGTCAGGTGGAACCGGGGATTGAACCACCAGTTCAGATTCACAGTTTGGCACTTTGTAAGACGAAGGCCTGAATGTTAAATCAGCTGCATGAGGAACTTTGGTGAAAATAGTTATTCTACCAACACAACCTTGAATGTTTTATTTTGAAACAATACAAAAAATAAAGCAACGGGCTAAAAAAATATTCACCAATATTTCTTCGTACTATATGAATATTAAGAGGTTAAGACGACATAAATTCAAGGAAAACCCAAAAGAAACATCAACAGAGAAACAAAAGAGTCGTAAAAATACAGAAACCCACTTAAATATGAGACGAGGGGCTTTGAAACTCAGACATCAATACAGTAATGGCCTTTCAGAACACATGACCAGCAGTGAAAGCACACTATACAGCACATCAACGCCTCATGCATCATCAGGACACTGGACTGAACGCCCACAACAGTGGTGTGTGTCGGCTGGTTCCTCCAGCGTTAGATTTATTAAAGCCCTTTTATTCTATCAAATCTAATATTCAAAATATGAGGATAAACTTTTGTTGTTGCAACACTTTGGTAAATCTTAATCAAAAACATGACTTAGAGTGTCAATTCCGACTTTTCATCTAAATATGAATATTTTTATGTCATAATTATGATGTACTAGAAGATCATGAATCTTTTGTAATGATTGTGCTTCCGTGGCTGAGGAATGAATCAGTGTCTGCTGAACTCAGATTCTCGGGTCTCTGGGTTTATTGGGCGGAACGCTAGGAGGTCTGTCGCGGCTGTCGTAGCGCTCGGAGTAGCGGTCGCTGTCGTAGTGGTCATCGTCACGACCTCGCCGGTCATCATCACGACCTCGCCGGTCATCATCACGACCTCGCCGGTCATCGTCCCGACCTCGCCGGTCATCGTAGCGGTCGCGGTCACGGTCACGGTCACGGCGGTCATCGTAGCGATCATCTCGATCGTAGCGCTCGCGCCGGTCGCCGTGGTCGTCTCGTCGGTCGGTGTAGTCGCTGCGCCGGTCGTAGCTCCTCTCGCTACGGTTGTCCTGCGGATCAAGTCTGTCGGCGCTTTTCACGCGGCGTTCTTCCTCGTACCTGACGGGTTCTTCCGGACCGTCTTCTTTCTCCTCAGGGTCGTTGTCTGTGAACTCTCCTCCTTCAGGAGTCCTGCCAAACACAGAGGAATAAAGGTTAGCATCCGCGCGGCGCTGGATGAGATGTTGGTGTTCTGCTGCCGTACCCCATGGCGTATTCCTCAGGCTTCTCCTTCCTCCGACAGCAATAGCAGCAGATGCAGATGATCCCGATGACAACCGCTACGGCCACAACGGCTCCGACGATCCCGCCGACCGACGCCATGCTCATGGACGCTAGCCGGGGTTAAGACACACAGAGAACAGCTGGTTTAGTTAGTCAGGACTATAGTCACGGCTGATCAGGCCTTCGGGAAAAGCTGCTGTTCTTACGTGGCATGACGGCCAGGGTCAGATTACACGTTGCAGATCTGATTTCATTGGTGGACGTGCAGGTGTAGAAACCGGATGTTTCTTTGGTAATATTGAAGAGCGACAAAACTCCGTTTACTAAGGAGAGACGACACACACACATATGTGATGCAGGAAAACTGGGTTTAAAGGGATAGTTTTACTCACAATTTACTCTCCCTCAAGTCATCCTAGGTGTATATGACATTCTTCTGTCAGACGAATACAATCAGAGTATATTAAAAAATGTCCTGGCTCTTCCCAGCTTTATAATGGCAGTGAATGGGCACTATTTTTATGAAGTCCATCAAAGTGCATCTATCCATCATAAAAGTGCATCTATCCATCATAAAAGTGCATCTATCCATCATAAAAGTGCATCTATCCATCATAAAAGTGCATCTGTCCATCATAAAAGTGCATCTGTCCATCATAAAGTGCTCCACAGACTCTGGGGGGTCTGCAATGTGTTGGTGTAGGAAAAATATCTATATTTATAACTTTATCGACTAAAATAACTAGCTTCCGGCAGACGGCCGGTTTTATGGTGAAAGAGTGACACTTGACCCGACGCACGGAAGCACAGAGGAAAGAGCAAAATAAAACACCAGTCACGAATTAGAAGTCTAAAACGAGAATATTTAAAGAGAAATGTGGGAGGAGCTTGAGTTTGTTGCCCAGCGCTGTTAGTTTGACTTAAAAAAATGGTGCCCATTCACTGGCATTATAAAGCTGGGAAGACTTGAAGGACATTTTTTTTATATAACTCCGATTGTGTTCGTCAGAAAGAAGAATGTCATATACACCTAGGATGACTTGAGGGGGAGTAATTTTTGAGTGAACTATCCCTTTAACATGTATTTGAGCTCACACACACACACACACACGTACGGTCCGTGGTCTTGGCCGGGTTGGGGCGAGGTCTGTTGGTGGTGTCGTAGCTCTGCCACCTGTAGGCCGGCGTCGGCGTCCCCTCCTCCGAGCGGCAGCTCAGTTTGATGTCCTGAGCGTATTCCAGCGTCCCTTCGATGTTGCAGATGGGCGTCGAGGGAGCCACTGCAACACGGTGAAGTTATTCACACGGGTCAACATTCAACATTCAAGATGCTTTATTGTCACTGTACACATCTCTCTCTCTCTCTCGGTAATACTGTTGAAGTGTTCGTGTTGCTAGAATGATTGATTTGTAGATGGTAATGGATTATAAGATAATAAACAGGTGATTTTAAAACGCTTGTTTATGTGTGAAAAGTGACGCAACTGTACATCATCCCATAAATGTCGATATTGTTTTAACTTATTTGTTTGTTCAAATCAATTTTCGTGTCTAACTATTTTTTATGTGGCAATAGTCATGTCCTGATCACTCCATCGGAATTTGTTTTTGTGATAACAACCGGCAGGATGGACATTATGCCTCGGTTATTTGAAGACATTTGACATTTCTGTCGCATGACATCTTCAAATGAGGAAATTGATTGAAATTCTCAAAATATTCATCTGAAGTGTCCAGCAGATCTGTGTGTGTGTGTGTGTGTGTGTCTTACCCAAGACTATGAGTTTGGTCGTGGCAGACACACCGTCCTCGTCATTACTCAAATTCTCAACTCCACACTCGTAAACGCGCGTGTCTGCGCTAGTGACCTTCAGGAGCTGCAGATCTGCTTTTCCGGTCGGGAAATCTTGTAATAGATTCGCCCGGCCTTTATATTTCGTCTGCACTTTAGTTGAAGTGAGGATTTTGATCTGTGAAAAAAAAACGTACAAGCGCACAACATGAACACATGGTCATGAGCTGTGGGATCAGTGCTGGTGGAGCGGGTGCTGGTGTTCAGTACCGTGGGTTCTGTCGGCACATCTGGAGCTGCGTTCCATGTGATCTGGACGTTATCACCCGTCTTCTGCGGTGTGAATCTGCAGGGGATCGTCACATCATCACCTCTCGCAATCTTATATTCTTTAGCTGGTATATTCACAGTCATGGCCGAAGAAGCGACCTGCACTCCTGTGAAACACACACACACACACACACACACACTTGAGGAACTATACCCTTTAGGCGCCAGAGGTTTTTTCCTAAAACGTTCGATTTTGACATCATAATTTCTAAAGGCTATATCTTAAAAGTGATAAAAGATAGATACTTTCTGTAAATTAGAGAAATATTAAGGAAGACCCAAAGTTTATGTAGGGATTACATTTTCCCATCTAATTTGCATATTATGACGTCATATGGTGGTCATATCTTGTATTATAGAATTTTCATGAAAAGTCACATGTTTAAATGATAAAATGCAGCACTTCTTTTCCCCCAAAATGTCCGTCACCTTCTGTATGCTATATTGCACAATACTGAATGCTCAGGTATATAGTAAGTAGTAAACAAACTGTGTAAATCATTACTAATAAATGGTAGAAACAAACCGAATGCATGTAGTGGTTGCCTTTTGCTGTAGAGATTTTCCATTTACTAAATACAGTAGGCACTCTGATTCCATGTATGGGGCAAATATATTTTATTCATTTGACATACAAACACAAGTAGACACGACCTGTTTAGTTCAAACGCTCACTCGCACAGATCATGAGTGAGATGATACGAGCAGCGCGGCCAGATCTGCCTCGCGCGCGCGCCGAGTGTGCACAGCTCGGACTACTGTCATTGTCATTGCGACTCCTCACCCTGCCTCCACATTGTCTCCTAACTCTCCTATGAATACTTCGACCTCGTCTAACATACCCAGTGGCATTAGACAAAGTCTCCACCACAATACTGTCGCCGCGATTGCGGAGAGGATCTGATAACATGCCTCACTCACACACTAGCTCCGCTTTTGATCGCACTGATTCAATGCGCTCTAATTCGAACATTTTGTATAGAAACATGACGTTTTTTTGATTTGGGGATGAAGTATGACATGTCTGCCATCCAGTGGAAGGGAGGACGAACGAAATTTGACACCCAATTTGACAAAATCGGCCGTTTTATTCAGAGCCGCATCTCGTCGAGTAAACTCGACCGTGGCGCCTAGAGGGCACTGCACAACATCAGACTCTCACACCTCTATATTAGACAAACTATTACATATAACACACACACACACACACTACCGTTCTCAATGCTGAAAACTGTTTTTACTTCCTCATATTTTTTGTGGAAACTGTAATACATTACCATTCAAAAGTTTGTGGTCATTAATTTTTGGTAATACTTTTATTCATCAAGGATGCATTGCATTGTCACAAAAGTGACAGTAAAGACATTTATAAATTATGTTAAAAAAGTTTTTTTTTAAATAAATACTGTTCTTCTGAACTTTCTATTCATCAAAGAATTCTGAACAATAACATGTATGACGGTTCAACAAAAATCTGAAGCAGCAAAACAGATAATAATCATAAATGTGTCTTGAGCATCAGATCCTCATATTAGAGTGATTTCTGAAGGATCATGTGACACTGAAGACTGGAGTAATGATGCTGAACATTCAGCTTTGATCACAGAAATAAATTACACTATACTATATATTCACATAGAGAACAGATGATTTACATTATAATAATATTTCACTGTTTTTACTGTATTTTTCATCAAATAAACACAGCTTTGGTGAGCAGAAGAGACTCTTTCAGAAACATAAAACATCTTCACTACTCCAAACCCGTTGACCGGTAACACCAACGGCCCGAGGCTGGACACACATATCTGTAAAGTTATGACGAAAATGTATGTAAGTTAATTAAATGTTTTACTGCTCAAATGTTTCTTCACATATCACGAGACTTAAAGGAGTTCTTATGTTCATGTTAGTGTTATCTTTGTCTCAGATGTTTCTCCTCAATATCCAGAGAATAAATCAGACACAAATGAGCCAGAAGCTGACGAGCAGAACGAGTATAAGACTAATGTGGACAGTTTGAGATATTTTTGAGATCTCCTCTGGAATATTAATGGAGTCTTTTACTCGATGAAACACCTGAGAAACAGGACTTCAGCTAAACTCTGTAGAGCTCGTGTGTGTGTGTGTGTGTGTGTGTGTGTTTCCGTGTGAAGCTCGTCTGGGCGTTGGCTCAGAGGAAAGAGTTGCTGTTCTGTGGAACGGCCTACAGATAAATCACTTGATCACGTTGAATAACGACTGCCTGAACTTTATTCTGGAAGAGATTGTTTGATTAATGATGAGCTTGTATTATGATATTGCATTCAGAAGCACATGAAGAGTAACCAACCGAACACAGCTCAACCTGAAATGAGTGACTCTTCATGCTTATGTAATTTGTTGAGTCTGCAGCTCTACTGGACAAGAACCTGAACCGCCTGATTCTCGAGGATCCGAACTGATGAGTAAATACATACACAGATTGACACAAGCTAAAGCTCACTCACCGCCGATCAGCAGGATAACTCCCAGCATCCCCAGTGTGGCCGCCATCGCTCGAGTGTGTGTGTCACAGGTGTGGAGGAACTGGAGATGTTGAACACACTGAAACTCAGGACAGTGAAGTCCCGCCCCGCGCGAGTCTCGGCTTGCCTGATGCCTTTATATGTGTGTGTCTCACAGTTTCATGCTAGAAAAGCCACACAGACCACAGTGCTGTGTCTCCGAGATCTACTTTAGAGGAAGAAAACTAGTCCAAATTAATACAAATCAATAAAGTAATGACTTTTGTTGAGTGGAATCAATGTTAGATGTTGTTTGTGAACTCTTGGAAACTCATTTCTCGCCGTTTTACTGAAAAACACACTGATTTGCATCAGATCCAGAGAAACTGGTTTGACAAGAAGAATATGATGAGGGAGTGGCAACACACACACACACACACACACACACACAACCACAGGCCGATGGTTTGATCATGTGATAGTAAATGGTGACCAATCCACCAGTCAGGACTCATGAGCATGTTTGAATTATTGGACCAATCAACACTGTGCAGCTGATTTGCATTATTCATTGGCAACTCAACGGCTTCCTCTGGTGGCTGAAGGTCAGAATCACATTTACATGTGCAGTCACCAATCTATAAGAATAACATGACCCTTTATGTTACCCGAGTACAATATTAGATAGTTGCAATTTAGAAAAAAGTATAGAAAATAATGTCATGAATAGTTAGGGTCCTCTTTTATTCCAGCTTTATTTCCAGATTATTCACTCACACATCCTCTTAACTTGGAATAAAACAAGCGAATGTGACACACACACTCACACACACACACACTCTCACACACTCTCACACACACACACACACACACACACACACACACACACACACACACACACACACACACACACACACACACACACACACACACACACACACACCTATGGGAAGGGCATCCGTAAAAGCTTCTTGGGCAGCATAAGGCAATGACTGCAATTCCCCGGGTTCTCCAAGGCTTCTTGAGCTTGTTTGAGGCCCGAGGCAGACCACGCAGAACGAGTGAAGGTCCTTAGCGGCGATGAGCGCACACGCGCGGCCGGACAGGCCCGTGATAGGCTGATCCCCGGAGAAGTGGCAGATTTAGACAGCGACATGGCAGCCGTGGAAGGAGGAGTGGGTGAGAACGGCGAGAGTGCGGGCGGCTCCGGATGCAGATCACAGCTGATCACGTCTGGCGGAGGCTGATCAGGCCATGTGTCCTCCTGAAGACACACAAGTGAGCAGCGTAGATACAACCGAACTGTGTAAGTGCAGAGATCGCGAGAAGCGAAACTCAACTGAAGAATAGCAGCGCTTGCAGGCGGGGCGGCAGTGGCTCAGTGGTTCATGTGGGTTGTCTACAAACCGGAAGGTTGGTGGTTCAATCCCCGGTTCCACCTGACCAAGTGTCGAGGTGTCCATGAGCACCCGACGAGGTACCCGACGAGCGGGATGGCGCCTTGCATGGCTGACACCGCTGTCGGTGTATGAGTGAGTGAGTGAATGGGTGAATGTGAGGCAAATGTAAAGCGCTTTGGTGGCCATTGGGTCTGTGAAAGCGCTATATAAATGCAGTCCATGCAGTCCATTTGCAGGCGTTGTATGCCCCTAGGTAAGGTTTTGAATGTCCCGTTCACCTGGCATTGGCTGCACGCTTCTGTCTGTCCAGCCAGACTTGGTGCAATTGGATGCTTCTGCAGAGGTCAGGTACGGATGCCCTTCCCACAGGTGGATCTCTCCACTGATGTTTCAGAGAACCGGGGTTACGATAGTGACCTATTGATGTGGAAGCACGAGTCCTTCAGATCGACTGCCGCGAACCGGTCTTGGGGAACCAAAGAATGCGTTTCTGCATCAGCATTTTGAACGAGATCAAAACTTGCCGATCCGAGATTGGCTGAAACCCCCGCCACTCTCGGGTGCGATGAAGTAAGAGCTGTAAACCCCATCGTCCCCTCGCTAGAGGAACAGGCTCTACTGTGTGTTTGCCGGCCGAGCTCAAGTCACGTCTCCTTCATCTATACAGCGCTTTAACAATATTTCACAGCAGCTTTACAGTGATAACAGGAGATTACAGTAACAGAGATTTGTTCAACTCTAGAATAAAGTTATTGTCCAGTTAAAGTTAGTTTTGATTGATTCACTTCCGTTGTAAAGATCATTAGTGATTACCTTAGCGGCCGCTAACACGACACCGCTCTACTGAACACAGAAACTGTAATGTGTTCCGGCCGTTCATTCGCACATCAGTGTTTGGAGCTCCAGAACACACACTTTAAAACAGGATCAAGTGTTGAAAAGCGTGATCATCTCCGCATAAACTTCAAAAACGCTAATCTGTGAAGCGCTGGCGGCGTGCACATGCGCATCCCGTGTTTAGTCTGTAGATATGTGTGTTTGGATATATATGTGCGCAGGCGTGTGTCTTTCTCTACAAAGTGACCTCAACTAATTACTTACTGGCCTTGAAATTTCATAATACAGAATTATTTGTCACTTCCGCGTATCCATGCGAACCGGAATCATTTTGACAGCGTTTTATCAGAGCTGAAGAGAAGGAGATCTCCACAGGGAGACACAGGGACCCTTCAGGCCTGCGGGACAGGGATCCGGCTCGGGCCGCCACATGAAGACGGGATTACCTCATCCAGAAACTTGTACTTTAACTGAGCTTGCTCTTTTAGGGAGATCTGCAGTTTGGAGGATTTCTCTGCACTGTCCCACTGAATGCTTCTCTTCGTTCGAACGAGCAGAAAAGGCGCATGAGGAGCGATCGGGGAGGTGGACGCGGCTCCGGTGGAGAATCCCCGGTGATCCTCGAGGCTCGGCTGTCCTGTCAGGTGCGGTGTTCAGAAGCGCACAACGCGCCGGGAGTACACACACAACAGACTATATCAATAAATCCACAATGGACAATCATAGACAATAACGGACAAATGAACAGGGAAACTCTTAGGGCTCATTTACACAGAGAACGCAATCAAACAAGAAACAGATCAAGTGCCTGGAATTAGGAACTATGGAAACTAATTAAACAGGGAAACTAACTAGGGAACTAAGGAGAATGGGAACAGAGTCGAACAGAGTGAAAACAAAACTTAAACATAACATGCAGATTACAGATAGTGGTGGTGTTATGGTTCATGTTTATTAATAGCCATGAACTGCATTGATTCCAATGTCATGATCAACATGACATAAAAAGACAATTTGTTTTTAAATGTCTCTTGAATTAGGCCGGTGTTATGCTCTCAGCTGACAATAACTCACCTCAGCAAAAGCAAACTGTATTTAATGTTTAATGTCTCCTGGGTGGCGTATGTTCCTGGTTTATGAGGACGAGAGCAGCACAATGACAGATGCCTTTGTGCTGACGTTTGATTGGATAAGATCTTTGGCATCGGCAACAAACCTTACTTTTAAAAGTCTACGTATGCTTATGTTCTAATGATTATATTGTGGTCAGTTGCAGTTCTTCATGGAACTGGCCTGAGACCCATGTCTGGATCTCGTACATATGAGATATAGATCTACATATAAATATAACACACTGTGTAACTGGCGTCTGTATCTCATTCATTATGACGGAGATCTGAGCGCATGTGCGTTTCATCAGATCCCTCTATACACATTCACCCGGCATCATTTCTACACTCGCCGCGCCTCGATGGATCTAATGAGCCTGTGTGAGTCTGAGGCACGAGCGCTGATTGGCTGATTGCTGATAATGGAGTCTGTGATGAGTGTGTGTGTGTGAGACTCTCGCATCTCTGCCGATGAAGCGGTTCATGTCTGCGTCGCAGTGAATGTCCTTCATTAAGGAGATCTCGAGTAACGAGGAGGAATGAGCCGAAGCTTCGGAACGAGAGGCCAGAGGAATGCCACTTCTTCCATTATCATCTTCCTTTCTTTTCTTGCATCTCTTACATTACGTCCCAAGGTTATTATTGCAAACTACAATGAAGACAAAAGCTACATTTTAGAAAATCAAAATAACATTTCTGAAAATAAATAAATAAATAAATAATTGTAAATGATCGCCGTCATGTCCTCAGATGTTTAAATTCACCATCAATGTAACATATACATGACTTACCAACTAAACTAAACTACACTGGAGTGAGAAATATACAACTAAATAGAAATAAAAATGAAATGTAAAACTATTATAAGTTCGCTCTGTCCTGATTTCAGAGGAACTGAATGGATATTTGCTACGAGACTTCCACGAACATGAGTCTGTTTCCAGCATATCTCCAGCATGCCGCATCATCAGACCCGATCTCGCTTCGACTGCCGCTTGTGCCGTGATCTGATGTACATTAATGGGACATGATGTGTGTCCTCATCTGTGTGTGACGAGCCTTCGTTTTCCGCACGGAGCTGGGAGTGAGTTTAGGAGGCTTTAGCTCGTGAATATCAATGTTTGATGTTGTTGCTTGAGCTGCACAGAGCCTACAGTCACGTGATCGAGTTAATATTGAGCAGGCCCTGATTTTATTGCTCCGTGTGTCTGTGAAAGATCTCGATCAAAGCCGCTTGAAGGCCAGCCTGAGACCTTTAGCCAGACGAGCGTAGCGGCTAATGCTAACGCTGGTAGCAGGGAAGGAGACCAGAGCCGTTTCTGTTCATGGATGTCCGGAGAAGAGGCTTCACAACACTGAAGACCCGCTTTAGTGAGGAAACACCTGATCATTTAAGCAATAAGTGTTCGCTAATCTTCAACATGTTTTACACGAATCAATACTTTTGTTTGGAACGATATCTAGATTTGTTATGATAAAAAGGTTATTTATAAGAGAAGGCTGAGTAGGGAATGTCACGGATAACTTTAAATAAATATTTTTATCAGTTTATGCCGAATGTTAGTCACCCCTTTATCTCTCTACTTAACCTTCAGTCACTCACATCCGCCATGTTTGTAGTTTTGTAACACTTTTTATTGGTCTTTGTAGTTCTCAAGCGAATCGCCCTCCAAAGTGCAATGGATTGTGGGTAATGTTAGCATGGACCCACACGTCTCTTTTCAACGAACCATGCTTTGTTGCGACCCTGACTGTAAT